ACATCTGTATGTCATTGCCTTCAATCTCTAGCATATCAACAAAGCAAAATGGGTGTAGTTCATTTGATTCGACACTTTCAGTACATAAGGAAATGCTTCGCCTAATAATCACTTTGTAAAAGTTGCTAGTCAGAATTAACATTAAAGAGTCACTTCTATTTTTGTTTTATCCGCTCGCGCAAACGAAATAGTACCTGGCTCCATAGAGTTCACATTCAGAAAACACAAAAAAAGCGTTACTCGGACAACCCCCATCCCCCTTCTCTTCCCCAAAGAGATGGAGCACATACATCGAAACAGGATTAACTCAAGCCTAGGATGAAAGGATCTAGCACAGCTGCGCCGGTATGTAAGAGTATCCCACTAACATCACTAGCACTGGATCGCCCCACCCGCTGTGGAAGCAGTCTCGGCATTCTAGATATAACAAATCCTTGTCATAGATAAATTGTTAAAACTGCGCCAAGTTTGGTTAAAAAGTTCAATGGCTTTTTTATTCGATTTAGACTGTGCGCTGATGTTTTGATTAAAACACGCAAGAACTAACATTGTTGCGGAATAGGCCGTCCACCCGGAAATCGGTTGCATCAACGAGGATTTCCAGATTTGATGGTCGAATAGTGTAGACGACGAGCCGTGATTTGGGTGCCATTTGTGGGGTTGCTGCGAATGTAATAGTTGCCAAATCACCATTCACCGACATCTCTTGCGTTAACAGTACTGAACCACGAGCAATCACCTTAAAGTTATTCAGTTACTGTTATTACTACCCTGTCCAAAAAGTGATAAAATTGTTTTATGTGAAGAGATTGGAAAAAATTAGTTTTTTTTTTGTTAAACTGGCTAAAATAGCAAAAATTTAGGCAAGAAATCGATAATTTTTTCACTTTAAAAGTGAAAATTAATAACTAAGACACAGAAAACGCGGCAATGCACGAAAATCAGCTGGAAAGCTAAAAACAAAACAAAATACAAAAAAAAATTAGTTAAGAAACAATGCAAAATGCCTTTATTTTCCCATTTTTTCTCATAAAGAAATGAAAACAATATGAAAGTATTAAAAACAGAAGAAAAGTATTAGAAAATAAATGGCCAACGCACGGGCCGCCCGTGCGAAGATGCGTTTTTTGCAGCGTTCCCCGCAGGTTTTTGTCGCTACCGGCATCGGTTTTTCGGCAGATGCTTCTAGCTGAATTTCAG